ACTAGACTGCAAGCTCCTTGAGGACAGGGATGGTGTATCCTTTTCACTGCTGTATTTTCACTGATGCATTTAATAGTACCTACGAGTGTCCAAATACTATTTATGGAACCAATGACTAGATGGATGAATGAGTAAATGAGTGAATATTGCCTTGATTAGAACGTATTGAGGGACCTCCACACAAATGTCTCCTCCTTCTGGGGGGACTATGAAGTTTTCGCAAACATCCCTGACCAAATAGGAACAGGAGCTGGGTTAGAGCGCTTCCTCAGTTTAGAATGTCATTTCCCATAAATAGCAGAAACCTCAACGGTGACTTAAAGACATTCAGGTTATTTGTGTCATACACCATGAACTTGGAGTAAGTGGTAACAGCTCCACGTTGCAAAGATGGATATCATACAAAGTATATTCTCTGGCCACAACAGGATGAAGTTAGAAATTAATAACAAAAGTAAAACTGGAAAATTCACAGATTTGTTGAAACTAAACAACACACTCTTATGCAACCAATGAATTGAGGAAGAAATCATAAGGGGAATTAGAAAATACTTAGAGGGCCGGCCCCGTGGCTTAGTGGTTAAGTGCGTGTGCTCCGCTACTGGCAGCCCGGGTTTGGATCCCGGGCGTGCACCGACACACCGCTCCTCCGGCCATGCTGAGGCCGCGTCCCACATACAGCAACTAGAAGGATGTGCAGCTATGACATACAGCTATCTACTGGGGCTTTGGGGGAAAAAAAGGAGGAGGATTGGCAATAGATGTTAGCTCAGAGCTGGTCTTCCTCAGCAAAAAAGAGGAGGATTAGCACGGATGTTAGCTCAGGGCTGATCTTCCTCACACACACACACAAATATATATATATAAGATGTCAATACTACCCAGAGCAATCTACAGATTCAATGCAATCTCTGTCAAAATCCCAATTATATTTTTTTCAGAAATAGAAAAACTCATCCTAAAAGTCATACAGAATCTCAAATAACTCTGAATAGCCAAAAAAATCTTGAAAAAGAAGACCAAAGTTGGAGGATTCACATTACCTGATTTCAAAACTTACCACAATAGAGCAATTAAATAGAGTGATGCAGGCTTCAAGTCAGACGTATAGACCAATGAAACAAAATAGAGTTCAGAAGTAAACCCTCACATAGATGGTCAAATGATTTTCGACAAGGAGGTCAAGATTATCCCGTGGGGAAAGAACAGTCTTTTCAACAAATGTTACTGGAAAAACTGGATATCCACATGGAAAAGAATGAAGTTGGTCCCTTACCTAACAGCGTATACAAAAATTAGCTCAGGGGCCGGCCTGGTGGCATAGTGGTTAAGTTTGCGCACTCAGCTTGGGCAGCCTGGGGGTGGCTGGTTCGGATCCTGGGTGCGGACGTACTCACCCCTCATCAAGCCATGCTGAGGCGGTGTCCCACATAGAAGAACTAGAAGGACCTGCACTGTGATATACAATTATGTGCTGGGGCTTTGGGGAGAAAAAAGAAAAGCAGGAAGATTGGCAACAGATGTTAGCTCAGGACCAATCTTCAAAAAAAAAAAAAGAGCACTGTATTTTCCTGTGGGTCAGGTGACTTTATCATGGCCATGACCTTTAAAAAAAAATTAGCTCAAAATGGATCAAAGACCCAAAAGAGCTATAAAACTCTTGGAAGAAAACATAGGGAAAAAGCTTCACAACGTTGAATTTGGCAGTGATTCCTTGGATATGATCTCAAGGGCACAGGTAATGAAAGAAAAAATAGGCAAATTGGACTTCATGAAAATTTTAAAAGTTTTGTGCATCAAAAGACATTATCAACAGTGTAAAACTGCAACCCACAAAATGAGAGGAAATAGTTGCAAATCATAAATCTAATAAGGGATTAATATCCAGAATATATAGAGAACTCCTAAAAGTTAATTAAAGAAAACAAAACAACCGAATTCAAAAATGGACAAAGCACTTGAATAGACATTTCTCCAAAGAAGGTATACAAATGGCCAATAAGCACATGAAAAGATACCCAACATCACTAATCATTAGGGAAATGCAAATCAAAACTATGATTAGATACCACCTCACACTCAGTGGGACGGCTACTTAAAAAAAAAAAAACATAAAATAACAAATGTTGGTGAGGATGTGAAGAAACTGGAAACCTTGTACACTGTTGGTGGGAATGTAAAATGGTATAGCTGCTGCGGAAAACAGTATAGCAGTTTCTCAAAAAATTAAAAATAGATTGACCTTATGGTCCAGGAATTCCATTTCTGGGTATATATCCAAAAGAATTGAAAGCAGGGTCTTGAAGGGATATTTATATACCATGTTCATAGTAGCATTATTCACAATAGCTAATTCACTTAGGAAGCAACCCAAGTGTCTATCAACAGATGAATGGATAAGCAAAAAGTAGTCTATACATACAATGGAATGTTATTCAGCCTTTAAAAGTAAGGAAATTCTGACAAATGTTACAAAATGGATGATCCCTGAGGACATTATACTAAGTGAAATAAGCGAGTCATAAAAAGACCGAATACTGTATGATTCCACTTATATGAGGTACTTAGAGTAGTCAAATTCATAGAGACAGAAAGCAGAATGGTGGTTGCCAGGGGTGAGGTGGGGAATGGGGGATTGTTGTTCAATGGGAACAGAGCTTTAGTTTTACAAGATGAAAAGAGTTATGAGGTGGATGGTGGTGATGGTTGCACAACATTATGAATGTATTTAATACCACTGAACTGAACACTTAAAATGGGTAAGATGGTAAATTTTATGTTATGCGCACTTTACCACAATTTAAAAATTGGAAAAAAAAAAAGAAAGAAAAAGGAAGCAGGCCAACCAAGAGTGTTTCTTTTAAATGGGCTTCCTGGAAGCCACCCAGCCACACCGGCTTACATCTCACCGGCTGGCACTGGTGAGTGCCAGATGAAAGATGCTCCCAGACGCAAGATGGCTACAGACAAGCAGCAGGGGTCGGGGTTGGGTCAGCCACATACAGCGTCCGTCCGCTACAAGAATTGGCCTGAAACTCAGACAAGCTGCCAACAGCCCATGTCCTGCACCCCCTCACCTCACCCAGCTTCCCTCATCCTCCCAAGCCCGCCCCTGCGGACTTCACACTCACATGCCACACAAATGCACCCTCTGTCCTCTGTGTCTGCCCCCTTCAGCTCGCTTAGTCTCTGCACGATAACACCTGTTTATTCACCTGTGACCTGCATCAGCACCCCCGCACCCAGGGCCCCCTACTCCCCTCTACTTGGGGGGAAGGCGGCTCATCTCACATCCACCCCTTTCAAAGTCTTACCCTCGCCTCCCTCCCTGCCACCTCCTGCAGCTCCGGGGCTGTCCGTCCTCCTGGCACAATGCTGCCCGATGGACTCAGGGACCACGGTGAGACATGGATGAGGCCACACTTCTGCTATGTGCCTACCTCTTAATTCCCACACCCGCACCAACCCAGGTCTGTACACTTGACTGGAGAGTTGGGGGTAACTGAGTGCAATTAGAACATTGGAGAAACGTATTAAAACTGGATCCTCCGTATGATTGTTGCCAGAGCTCCAGGGAAAGGACAGAAGTTAAATCCTCATGGGGTCTCCTTGCTTCTCTCTGGAGGCTTGTCTTTCTCCCCGCCGCTGAAGCACACACCCACGAGCCCACCCTCCCAGTGTCTCAGGGGTGTCACCAGCACTGCCTGTGGGACACAATCTCTAGCAGGGCACATTGGCTGGCGACTGTACTATTCAAGTTAGAATAGCTGTGTGTGTTAGTTTCTTACTGCTGCTCTAATAAGTTACCACACAACTTAGTGGCTTAAAACAATACAAATTCATTATCATACAGTTCTGAAGGTTGAAATTCCTACAAATGAAGGTGTCAGCTGGACTGTGTTCCTTCTGGAGGCTCTAGGGGAGAATCTATTTCCTTGCATTTTTCAGTTTCTAGAGGCTGCATGCATTTCTTGGCTCATGGCCCCATCCTCCATTTTCAAAGCCAAAGGCGACTCAGACCACACCAGGAAGCCCCACTCCGTCTCCCTCCCTCTCTTCCCTACTTTACAGACCAGGTTTGGTCACCCAGAGTGCACTGAATTTGTGCCTGCACTGCTTTAGGGGCCAACCCTCTGTCATTTTTGGTCACAGCTTCCCCACTTCCTCCTCAGGAATATGGAGTCCCATCTGCTCGTGTGTGGGGTAGATGAATAGAGAGCACGTTGCCCACAGCTCCCCTTCAGGTGGAAGCAACCTAGGGCGAGCTGAGAGCATCCTGGGGCTCTGGGGACCTGCACCCACTGGCCTGCTGAGGACACCCAGCCTCTCTGGGCCCTCTCCACACACAGCTGGGCCGCACTCTGTGTGTGTGTGTGTTTCCCCTTTTGCATCTCAGAACACTAGTAAAAAGAGAGAGGAAGTGTTTGGGATGACTCATGCTTGCACTCACACTCATGCAAATAATTAAAAATCTAAAGAGGACACCAACCAGAGCAGTGTCTTGCCACCCTCCGAGGGCCACTTACCCCTTGGAGAATCTTCTGAAAGCTATGGGACTACATTTCAGAGAAAATTGCTCAAAAGGCACAATTTGGTTGTAATGTCAGTGGTCAAAAACCCTTGACTTAAGTGAAATACAGCCCTTGTCTTTAACTGTTGTTTACTTAAAACAGGTCAAAACATTGTTAAGAGTTGAAAGAAAATCCCTGAGATTTCGCACAGCCGAAAGGGCGGCAGGCGTGGTTCTAAGAGAGCCCGGGACTGTTTGCAGCGAGTTTAAAATCTCCAGACGGGAAAACTCTGCCACATTTTCCAGCACGGAGGCAATGGCTGTGACTGTCCCTCTCCCACCCAATGATGACGTGTCTCAGGATGTCCCCAACCCCTTGGATCCTCCAAACTTTTCTGTGCTCATTTGGGATCAAAGCCAGGAGCTTTCTTTAACACAGGGTTGCACACCCGTAGCAGGCGTTGTTTAAATAATTTTTTTCTTGTCTCTTAAGATATTGTAAACTTTATTGATATCTCTTATGTTAAAAATAAATCTATCTAAGAGTCCAGAGGAACCGAGGACGCTGCCCACTGCTGGTTCTGGAGCCAGAGGCAAGCCTCTCCTCTCTGGCCTCAGTGTCCTTGTCTGCGAGGTGAGGGGGACCCCATCGTTGGTGCCTCTGCATTCTCCCAGCTCTCTGCCAGCCCTCCCATTCCCCAGCAATCCCAGACACTTCCATGGGGCTGGGATTCACAAAGCTATTCGTAGGGACCATCCTACATGAGCCACGTCTTTTCCTGGAGCCACATGGGACTGGGCTGCTGTCCTGCACTCACAGAGCTGGAATGAACCAGAGAAAGAGAGGAAGATGCGACAAGAGCCAGCAGGATGAGAGGGTTTCCCACAGCCCCTCCAGAACCCCATTCCCTCTTGCTCATCCTCAATGAAGCCGGCCAGGATGATGGTGCATGAGGGACAGCCCAAGGGAGCCCAGAGGCCTTGTCGGTCAGCATTGAGGGGGCAAGCCTGAGGGGGGCGTGGGTGGGGGCTGAGGGGGGCGGCCCTGTGGCCCACAGAGACCTCCAGATGGTGAGGCCGGAGACGCAGGCTTATGTCTTCTTAATCACGCTGTACTCTGGCTCCTTCGTCGGGGACCTCTGGGAGGGAATCCCATTGGCCTCAGAATCCTGACTCTGGGGGTCAAATACCACTGAGGTGTAGTGAAGATCTTCCCTGGGGGCTGCCTGCAGAGAGAGACCCGAGGCTCAGGGAGAGGCGGGGGAAGGACGGACCCCCAGCTTGGGGCAGGGAGGGGGGACACCCACAATGATGTTGGAGGGGCTCCAGTGGGGGGCTCCAGCCTCCCCGCTGCCCTGGCCTCGTTCTCTCACAAGGACTGGGCTCTGCACCCTGTCCACCCCACCCGGTCCAGCCACAGCAGAAAGTCCCAGGCCTCAGAGCCGGGCTCCACTGGGATCCTGGGCCTGACCCAGCGTGTTCCATTCTACAAAGAGGAGACTGAGGGCCCAAGAGGTTTACAGGAATTGGCTGGGCTCCCCCGTGACAGCCTCTGTGCTCCTCTTAATGAAATGTCCTGGGAATGAAGCAGCCCACGGGTCCCTTTTGGGGACTCAGAAAAGTCTGCAGAGGACTCGTGGCCTTCCAGGTAGAGCCCAGGCCAGCCCAGGGGGTCCCGCTTTGGCTCTGATGCTCTATGACTAACTTGCTGAGCTGTGGACACAAGTCCTGGCTTGGACCAAGGGGGCAGGCAGAGGAGTAGGACCAGGCCGCAAATCCATTCTGAGATCATGAGTCACCAAGTTAGAACACCAAGGTGTTGCTAGTCCCAGGGCCACATGGCTGTGTGGACATGAGAAAACATCACATGAGGAAGAATTAAGTTAGTCCTTTGCAGGGGCCTTCAGACACTTGGTCAGGAGCCCTCAGAGTGTCACCAGGCTGTGCCAGCTGCTCAGAGGCCCTGGAGAATGGGACCAGGTTCTGGGCTCCCAGACCATACCTCATCCTCACCCAGACAGCTGGCCTGAGGCCGCGCAGGGGCAGGGCGCCCCGGGGACCCAGCAGTGGTGCCAGACTGGATCCCCCATTCCTCCACATGGTGCGGGAACAGCAGCCTGGGTGAATGGTGCCAGGTTGGAAATATCCCAGCGAGTTGGGCCACTTTTCCAGACAGACCAGCAGCTCGGGTGACCCGTCACCCTGATGCCAGCCCTCCATGGCATCACATGGCATATCTGGGATGGCTCGATTGGCTCACAGGCCAGGGGACTTGGAGGTCTCCCCATGCAGCTCCAGGTCTGATGCTTAAGTCTCTCCCCCATCTTCTCCACCAACTGGTCCCCTGGCCTCTGCCTGAACTCTTCCACTGACAGGTGGGTCTCCATCCTGGGGGGCAGCCTCTTCCATTACTCCACTTTACAGTGGCTGTGCCTAAGCGCTGACCTACAGGAGCTCGTTGATTAAAATCTTAAAAGCAGAGGTGACACCAAAGAGATGATGGAACCAAAACAGTGAGAAATCACAGGTTTTAACATTGGCTGTATGGTATATAGTAGGTGCTTAATAAAAGCTGTACTTTATTGACTATCAGGACCATATTCACTGGCTATCCCCTTAGCCCCTCCATCTCCCACCCCACACTCCAGCCACAATGACACCAAGCCCTGCTAAGGACATCTGCTCTGGCAAAATCTTCACTTGCCCCATTTTCTGTGTGGCCCTGTCCTGCAGAGGCATAAGATCACCAAGCCTGCACCTCACTTCCCTCTCTCCCCACTGCCACCTTAAGGTCCTCCCATGCTGGGAGCCAGGCCCTCGTACTCACCACGGTGCTGTATACCATCTCCTCCTGGCTCCGTTGCACGGGCTCTTCCCGAAGGGGACACATCTGCAGCTCCAGATTCACATAGCAGGGCTCACTGGGGTCAGCAGCCTGGGGTGGGCAGGGGGTGTGGGGGCTTGGCTGGTGTCCATGGAGCCCTGCTGTGGTCCAGCCCAGAGGGCCTCTCTCCCTGCTTCTCTGCAGACATCTCCCCCTTCCCTTTATGCCCCAGCCCCAGCCTTCCCACCCTGCCTCCTCCGTCTCCTACTCTGGTCCTCTCTGGGAGGTATTTGAATGCTCCCCAGGTCAGTAGCCTCGCTGGGAGAACTGTCTCTCATTCCACTTCCCCTGGGGGGAGTGGACAGACTGGCCAGAGCTCTCGATGAGACCCAGTGACCAGATCTCCCAGGCAACATTCTTCCTGCTCTGGGAAAGCACCCCTTTCCATCCATCAATGATCCATGCAGACCTCCACTGGCCGATGGGAATATCCAACCCTCAACATCCCCTGTGCTTCCCCCCAGCCACCCCGACACACCTCTTGCTGTAGCCTTTCTTACCTGACTGGGGTTCTGGAGTGGCTCTGGATTCTCACCAGCTAAAGAGACAAGAGGAGAGTAAAGAGATTGAATCCCAGAAAAAGGGCAGGGATGGGATCCCTACCATCCATCTGAAGAAAGATCTTTCCCTACAGACTTCAGCTCTGGGGACCTATCACTTCAGGTCTGCAGCACAGTAGGAACTCAAGGGTTTGTCGAACGAGCAAATTAGTGAATGAGGAAATGAATGAATGAATGAATGAATGAATGAATGAGTGAGTGAATAATCGAACCGAGCAGGAAGGCTCCAGCGTGGGGAGAGGGACCAAGAAAGCTAGTTCTCAAAACAGTCACTCAGGAAATGTGCCCAGGTGGGAGAAGACAGGAAAGGAAGGACTCCCATTTAAGAAGACCTGTCGGCAAGATGAGAAAGTTCTGGAGATCTCCTTCACAACAATGTGAATATACTTGATACTACTGAACTGAAAACCTAAAAATGGTTAAGATGGCAAATTTTAAGTTATGTACTTTTTGCCACAATAAAAAAAAATGCAGATCTGTAGGCCCTACCCCAGATGTACTCAATCAGAAATGCTGGCGATGGGGTTCAGCAATTTGTGTTTCAACAAGCCCTAAAAAAGCTAAAAAGCTAAAAAGGAACTGCCCTTGCAGAGACCTAGAATGGCATCAAACCATGAGAAATCACTGGGGTCATCCGCTCCCACCCCTTGCCTGGGGGTCTGCCCCTCACAGGCAGGAGGCCCTGTCAGCTCCGAGGGATCACAGCTCAGGCCACACAACCTTTGCTCCTGGCACCTGCAGCATTGCCCTGCGGGGGTCCTGGCTCTGAGCACAGCTCTGTGCGCCCCTGGCCCTTTCAACCCGGGGCCCCAGGAGCAGGTGGGCAGTGGGTGATGCACACACCCTGGCCAGGCAACCCCCGAGTCCACTGCACTAGATGCCACAGGAAGAGACACTGTCCGCCCCTCAAGGAGCCCCAAAGTCAAAGGTGAGATACCCACAGTCAGGAGACACAAGACCACCGGTGACGGAAGTGTTTGCTGAGCCCTATCAGTTGACTTAAAAGAAAATGCAACTGGATGCTCTGAAGTGTGAACACATTCTGTTCCAAATGCCGCATGCCAGCTCCACGCCACCCTCCCTCTCCTCGGCTGGGACAGCTGCTCTGATGGGAAGGAGGAAAGACGCTGGTGGGGAAGAGATGGGAGTTCATCGCTGGGGGAGGAGCACGGCATTGAGAAAGTTCGGCAGTAGCCAGCTGGATGGGAAACTGGACTGGAACAGGGGAGGGAGGGCCAGGATATTGGAACGGGAAGCCCTTCTCCTGCCACAGAGGCTCAGTTAAACAAGGCGGAATCACACACACACACCGGTACCCTCTGCAGTCAGGAGTTTTTAGAAGAACGTTTAATAGCAGGGAAAATCATACAATATGTTAAGTGTAAAACAGAACAGGTTTAAAAGAGGGATTATGGTGTGAAGCAAACATTTTAAGAAATCATATCTGCATAAACAGGCATCAAGAAAAGACTGGAAGGACGTAACTCAAATGTCAGTGGTTGGTTCCCCCTGGGGGATGGGAGTTTACATATTATGGGGAATTTATTTCCTTCTTTGTGTTTTTACTTATTTTTTGAATTTTCTACAGCAATCACATATCCCTTTTTTGAAAGGGGAGGCTTTCTGGGTGAAAGGGCACCATGGAGACCACTGGGAGCCACAGATCTGAGGCAATCCCGACTGGGAAAATCCCCGTGTGGTCAGCAGCGTCCAGACGTGGGCTGAAGTTGAGAAGGAGGGTACCCAAAAATGATATGGGAGGGGCAGCGGGTAAGAGGAAGTGGTTTTCTCTCCGTACGTCAATCACAGATATGCTGAGGCTGATTTCTCTCCTGAGGGCCTGAGCCGTGCTCCAGGGAGAGACTGGGCCTCACGGCAGGGCTGGAGGTGAGAGTGTACAACTGTGGTCCTCGGCCCGGCCCCCAGCACACACCAGCTCCCTGTGAGCTCTGCAGCTGTGGGGAGAGCAGCCCCGTCTCCTCCCACCCCAATCTGACCGCAGCCTTTGGAAGGTTTAGCTTCGGTGACCGTGGACAAACGTTCCCCTAAGAACCCTCTGCTCACGGAGTCAAGATCTCTTAGAACAAGAGGGAAACATAAGGCTCACGCTCCATCTCAGGCAGAAATCTGGTCCCCTACAGGTGACAGCTGGGCCTCCAGCCAGCAAGAGAAGGCCACGACTCCGTGCGCCCCTCTGTTGTTCCCCTGTTAAATTCACTCACCAAGTGTGCAGCGAGCACCTACTTACTGAGAGCCAGACAGGGTGCTGGGTGCACCAAATGTGTTCTTTCTTTTATTCTGAGCCAGAGGAGCGTGAGTGGACCACAGGATGCATGGAGCTTCCTGAGGTTCCCGTTGTGGGTGGAGATATTAAATAATACGTTAATTCAACACATACTGATTGTGCGTTTCCTCAAGTCATGGTCCCTGATCTCAAGGAGTTGCAGAGCTGGTGGGGAGGCAGGCGAGGAAGCAGGCAGTGGCAATCTGGTGTGAAAAGGGCTGTGGGGTACACCCAGGAGAGGCCCCCAAGCTCCTATTTGGGAGGCCAGGTAAAGGTCCCAGAGGAAGGACGGCCTGAGGGCAGCCCTTAGGGCCCACCAGGAGTGAGCCCAGGAAAGAGGGCAGGGGAGGCCCTCCGGGGGCCCAGAGCAAATGCAGAAGGGGAGACTGAGGCCATGGCTCTTGCCAAGTGACAAGAAGTTGGGAACGGCTGCCTGTCATGGGCAGGAGGGGTGGGCAGGGCCAGATCGTGGAGAGCCTTGACCATCCTTAGGGGCCTGGACTTTTGAGGGTGTGGGAGGTCATAGAAGGGTTTTAAACAAAAGAGGGACACTGCTTCACAGGCAACCGCCCCAGGCCCCACCATGGGAGGAAAGGTCTCCTAGGAAGCCACTGCTCACAGCCTGTGTCTGCCATACCAGGGACACCTCTTCTGGGGTCTTCCCTCTAGGGTCACCCAGGCTGAGTGGTCTGAGGGTGTGCATTCGGTACTCATTCTGGGGAACAAGGACACAGAGCCTCGAAGACAAGAGGGTGTAGTGAGGGCCCGTCCATCCTGGGGGCGGGGGTGAGGGAGCTAACTCACCTGTGATCCGTCTCTGAACCATTCTCCAGGCCAGCAGTGAGGTCCCCGCCGACAGAAGCAGCAGAACTGCTAACAAGGAAAGCAGCACTTGGAGCCTAGAGGGGAGACACGGGATAGGGCGGGGTGGGCTTGGGGATCTCGCCTTCCCTCTGTTGTTTCCAAATAAGGTCGCATTTAAAAGGTAGATAGAGGGGCCGGCCCCGGGGCTTAGCAGTTAAGTGTGCGCGCTCCGCTGCTGGCGGGCCGGGTTCGGATTTTGGTCGCGCACCGACGCACTGCTTCTCCAGCCATGCTGAGGCCGCGTCCCACATACAGCAACTAGAAGGATATGCAGCTATGACATACAACTATCTACTGGGGCTTTGGGGGTGGGGAAGTAGATAGAATAAAGTCTCCTTTCTACACATCCTGCATCTACCCAATTTCCCTCACATACACATACATGGTATAACTTAAGACACTTCCAGAAGCTCTTCATTCAGGTACAAGAAAATATGAATGCACATTGTTTTCCTCCTTTTTTCACACAAAGGAGGCATAGTATAAACACTAGTTTTTTACTTAACAATACGTCTTGGAGATTTTTCCATGTCAGTATGTAAAGAAGTCCCTCCTCTTTTTTCACAGCTGCATAGTATTCCATTGCATGGATGGATCACAATTTATTTAACTCTTCCCCTTTAAGAGGCACTTCCTCCAGTCTTCTGCAATTACAAAAATCACTGCAAACAATCTCCTTGTAGCTCCACCACTGCACACTTGGACAAGAAACACAGATTTACTGGGAAGCTGACACAGCTTAGGGTTTGGACCCCTCACTTGCTTGGGCCCCTTCTATCATATCTAGTTTTCATTCATAATGTTCTGGTCTTTTTCTTAAAGATGCACCTCCCATCCCCCCAAATTACACAGGCTTCAAGCTCCACAAAACCTAGCTCTGACCCCCACACATGTATCTGCAGAGTCAGTTTCTGGAAGTGGCATGTTTGGGGCCTGAATCTCACCTTGCCTGATATTAAGATTGTCACTCGGGTTGGCTGGAAGCCAGTGGAAGGGCTTTGGGGGTGTCATATAATAAAGAATCTGACTGGCCTTTGCCCCTGGCTCCTGGAGGGAGGCTCTAGATCCTAGGAATGTCCCCAGTAAAGGAGTGTCTTTGTTCCCCATGAGCCCCTTGGATCACACCGAGTTTATGCTAAGAGATGAGATGACTCGGGATGGGGACTGGTCACCAGAAAGACCAACCATGTGATCAGAGATTTGGGGCTCTGAGCCAGCCTTCAGGAAGTGGAGGGGGCTGGGGACTGAGTTCCACCACGCGGCTGCTGATGATTCAATCAATCGTGCCTGTGTAATCATGCCAAAAAAACCTCTGGACCCCCAAGCTTGGAGGAGATTCCTGGTTGGTGAACACATCACTGCCCCAGGAGGGTGACGTGTCCTGACTCCACTGGGAGAGGGCACGGAAACTCTGCGTCCAGGACCCTCGCAGACCTCACCCTACGTGTCTCTTCACTTGGCTGGACCTGACCTTTATCCTTCATGATAAAACCATAATTGTAAGTATAGCCCTTGCCTGCATTCTGAGTTATCTAGACAATTGCCAAACCCAAGGGGGTCATGGGAACCCCCAAATTTGTAGTCAATTGGTCAGAAATGCGATGGCCTGGGAATCCCCAAAGTGCTCTGGCATCTGAAGTCAGGTGGTCTTATGGGCCTGAGCCCTTCACCTGCAGGGTCTGTGCTAACCCCAGGCGCTCAGTGCCCGAGCCAGGTGGCGTCAGAATAGGGAGTCTGTGAACCCCAGAAATGGCTTATGATGGCATGTGTTTTTCTGGGAAGAGAGTCTATAAATGTTGTCAGATTCTCCTGGGGATTTGTGACCCCAAAAAGGTCAAGAATCACGAATTTAGAAGGAAGAATCTAAGACTTCAGAATCACATAAACCTGGGCTGGAAGCCCAGCCTGCGTCCTGTAGCTACATGACCTGGCAAATCGCTCAACCTCTCCGTGCTCGGTTCACTCCTCTGTAAAATGAGGGGAGTGACGGTACAGGGTTGCAGCGAGGAGCTATGAGAACACTCACGTAAGGCCCTGGGCACGGGCCTGGTAGGATAGCATCAGCTCTCATTAACTGTTACTTTCGTTCCATCCACCCTCAGCTTCTCCCCAGCTGAGCCCCCTTTCGGGGCCCAGGGCAGGTCCAGTGCGGCCTCAACAACCCAGGCTAGGAGATGGAGACTGCGGCTTCCAGCCCGGGCCTGGCACAAAGGGAGCCAGAGGCCCCCACCCGGCCCGGGGAGGAGGTGCCTGCCCCGAGCTCCTCCTGAGGAGGAGGCCCCCCTCTGGGACACGGGGACTAGGGCGCCTTACCCCCAGCCCTGGGTCTGCTGCAGTTTCTCCTGGCTGCTCGTGCTGCGAGTGGCACTCGGGGTGGCTGGGGTGGTGGTGGCCAGGGTGGTGGTGGCCGAGGTGGTGATGGCCGAGGTGGTGATGGCCGAGGTGGTGATGGTCGAGGTCTTGGCTACAGAGATACTTGTAGGTGGGGCTGACGCTGGTGCTGGTGCAGGTGCAGAAACACAAGTCAGAGCCAGGGATCTCCTTTCTGACTCTCCCACCAGTCGCCAATACCTTTTTGTTTGATTTCACACAAAATACTCAGGAAAGGGGCAAGACGGAGGACGCTGGGGCCAAAGTCACCCCAGGACCCTCCTGGGCCAAGGGAGCACTTCCAAACAAGACACTGGTACCACCTCCAACAGTCCTGATTCCACCCTGCCGAGGAGGGTCAGGGCCCTCCAGAGGGCCCCTAAGTCACCTCAGCACCCGCAGTCCCGTCCCCCTCCAGCCACAGCCGCACGCTGCCTGCCAGAGATGTCTGTCTGAACTGCAATTCTCAACATTCCCCCAGGCAGCTCTGGGTTTCTGCGGGGCTGACCCACGGCGCCCTCCTCTCTCCTTTGCACACTCTGCTCCCTCTCTCAGCCTGCCCTTCGCCTGACAAGCACCTTCCCATCCCTCAAGACTGGGCAGAGGTGCCAGCTCCTCCAGGAGGCCCCCTGACTCACTCACTCCCTTCCTCTCTCTCTCTCTCACACACACATACACACACACACACACACACACATACACTCAAAGTTTGCTCCAAGTCTCTGATCTGATTGCTGCCTCGGCTATTCTGACCTAAGCCTCTTCAGGTGGCCCTGGCGCTGGTACAAGGGGAGCAGGTGTGTATGCTCACCTGGGAACACAGACACCACGACCTGGAAGATGGGGTCAAGTAGAACTCCTTGGAACCACGATGTTTCGATCCCACACCAGTATGTGCCTTCATCATCCTTTGTGAGCCTCTCCATGGTCACCGTGAAGCTGAGGTTTGCTGGATGGTCCCTGATGGACACGTGGCCGCTCCTCTCTTCTCTCTCTGACTCTGTGGTCTCCACAATCTTCTCCCTCCACAGTAACGAACATGAGCTTTTGCACCAGTATTTCTTATTTTCTGTGAATTTCTCCTCGTACCGACACTGCACGCTCAGGGATCCCCCCACGGTGCCAGTCACGTTGCTGGGGCCACTCAGAGACAAAGAGCCTGGAAAACACAGCCGAGTCCCAGCTCCTCACCAGATGGGCCTGGGTCCAGGACTCACTGGGGGTCACCCCCTCAAAATGCCCCACGTCAGCTGCCCCCATCAGCCAGTTCACACCTTGAGTGCCCTCCCCTTCCTCTCTGTCACCTCCAAGACTTTGATCACAGCAGCCCCTCTCTCCAGACCCCAGCCTCCCTTCCTGCTGCCCTTCCCATCCCTCACTGACCCCTCCCACTTCCACGCTTGTCGGGACCATAAGAACTCACCCTCAAGCACCCCGCTCTGCCCCGTGGGCCACCCCCAGCCCTAAGCATCTCAATAATGTGAAGAACCGCTCGCAGACCCGTCTGCTCCCACCACGGCAATACGAACAGGGCTGAAAGCAGGCTGCCAAGGAGTTCACAAAGAACACCGGACACGCTTGGTAAATCTTGTGGATAAAAACTCATTCCCACACGAAAAGTTGACTGACGACAGCCTGCGTTTCCTTCTGGGCCTTACTTCCATTTGCCCAGCTCCTACAGACTCAATTTTCAAGGAAGCTCGTTCTTTATTTCCAAGATTTATGTCTGCATTTTCCCACAAGTTCTCAGAGAAAGAGCTGGGAGAGGAAGATGCGTGTGAAGCTAACACTGGCCACAAAGCAGAGGACGCACCTGCCCTGGGCACTGTGTGTGCAGCCCCTCACCACCCTCACAACACTGTGGTCAGGCTCCCCAGTTGGTGTGTGGAGGAGGTGTGGCTGGCTCTCTTTTCCTAGAGTTAGAACCCCTTAATTTTACTCGCTTTTTCAGGTTCTTAAAGCCCTCACTTGAAGACTTCGAGACCATTCAAATGTGGCTCCAGGAAAGCAGGGGCCTCCTTCTTGTATCTTCTATGTCTACAAGTGCCGGTGCATAGTAGGCCCACAATAAATACTTCAACATGAGCGCCTCCCCCACCCCATCCTGGGTCTACGTCCATGGTTGCCCACAGCTGACCACAAGCTCCCATCAGTCCCTCTCCCAGGGGCCCATCAGGACCTCCTCTCCTGGCCTGAGTGTGCAGGTGCCCTGCAGAGAAAGCCTTCCCAAGCTGCGTCACAGGTGTGACGTTTACTGAGATGCTCGGTAGTGATTGTCAAGGTGAAGTGGAAAGGACAACAGAAGAATCTGGGTTCATGTTTCGCCTCTATTACATATCAGCTGTGTGTTCTGAGGCAAGTTACTTAACCTCTCTGAATTTCAGATGCCTCATCTGTAAAGTAGTGATAATTCATAGGCCTCATTTGGCATTTGGGGATATTGAATGAAATAATGGGTGTAAAATGCCTGGCAAATAATATTAGGTTGAAACATATGAAATTGCTGATATTCAACTGTTTTTGACCAAGAACACAGGAATTTCATAAGATTCAATCTAATAAAAATAGATAACCCTCTGTCTAGCCAAATTAAGAAATGAAAAGAGAAAATAACCACAGACACAGAGAAAATGAAAAGAATCAAGATGGTACTTTGCAGAAATTCTCTCCATGAAAATGTGTGACTCTGGATGAATACGTGATTTTCTAGAAAAACGTAAGTCACTAAAATTGACACATATCAAGTGCTTAATAAATAAATATCTGTTCCAGCCTTCCTTCATCCAAGATGCTCTTCCTGGTCCCCATGTCCTGCCTGGATTCCCTACCTCTTCTCAGCCATGAAAAAGAAAGAAAGTCATCTTTCTCTGCCCGGGTCTTGGCTCCCTTCCCTGATCTGGCTGACCCCATCATCCCCACCCACACCACCCACCCTGTCTGTCTCTAGTGTCTCACTTCCTTTCACGTGCTCACTCCGTCTCTCTCTGTGTGTCTGTCCCTCTTGCTCTGTTTCTATCTCTGTCTCTCTCCCTGTCTGTCTCTTTTTCTGTCTCTTTTTCTTTCTCTTTCTCACTCTCTGTCTGTCTGTCTGTCCTTCTCTCTCTCTGTCTCTCTCTGTGTCTGTCTGTCCTCTCTCTCTCTGTCTCTGTTTCTCTGTTTTTCCGTCTCTCTCTCTCTCCTGATTCACTTTTCTCCTCTTAGCAACAACAAAAATAAACCACCCTTATGAGGACATCCCGTATCTGAAATCTTGGGTGAAAAAATGTCACCATTTCTCCCAAAAGATTTTGCACCTGTGAAGGTGACATTGTAACTTAGAGATGAGGGGGTCAGAAAACCTTCAGCTCACTGTCCCACTGACCTGGAACACTAGCACTTATGTACCATCCTCCCCATTTTGCTTCTCTCTGCTTTCACTGGTCCAACACTTATCACTGCCTGGCTGCCCGCTGACCAGAAACCAGGAGACAGGAGACCACTTGGGTCAGGGGCCTCACTATTTCCAAACCTCTTCTACCAGGATGTTCCTCTGTTGTCCTAATGTTTTACTTTTGGACCACAAAGTTTCATCCCACTAAATCCAAGATAAAGGAGTGACTCCCCGGACTCAAGAAGTCAGGAGAGGAGCACGTGTGTACACACCCAACCCAGGAGGAAGGAAAGAGTAAAGCCAAAGCAGAAGTTGGTGAATTAGGAAACAGAAAAACGGTGGAATTAGTACGTACACTAAAAAGCTGATTTTCCTTTTGGGAGAGACAAACGAAATAGACGTTCTAGTGGGTGGCCAAATCAGGAAAAAAGAAGACACACTTGCACAATTAAAAAGAAAAATAACCAGGGTAATTTGCAAGTCTCTACAAATAAGTCTGTAAACTTGGATGAAACTGATGATTTTCTACGAAAATATAAATTACCACTATTGGCCCAGAATAGATTTTTTTTTAATGTAGACCAATAATCATGAGCGGTAGCAAAGAGTCCTTTCCAGATGACAACTGTGTGAGGTGATGTGGTAATCAGGTCTCAATGTTTACGTATATGAAAACATCAAGTGTACACTGTAAACATACACAATTTTTATTTGCTATTTATACTTCAATAAAGCTGGGGGGAAATGCAAAAAAAAAGGGTTATTTCTCTTCCAAAGAAAAAAAAATTAAACCTAGTTTCACAAGTTAGTTCTCTCAAACCTTCAAGGAGCAAAAAATTCCAATTTTATTTAAACATTTTCAGAGAATATAGAAAGAGGAAAACCTCTCTAATTCTTTCCATGAAGTCAGTGTAATATATCGAGACTAAAATCCAGCTGACTCTCTTAGTATAATTCACCATCTTAATAGTTCAAAGGAGAAAAAAAAATCATCTCTATAGATAACAGAAAAGCACCTGACACTTGCTGCTGTTGTTTTTAAAAACACTCCATGAATAGACACAAGCGGACGCCTTCTTCACACTTACTGGGAAACAGTGGACTCCTGCCTAGTCAGGGATGAGGCAAGGACGACCACTGCCGCCTCGGTCCTGAGCATCATTCTGGCTGTACCAGCCTGCGATCACTGAGAGAAAGAAACAAGACAGATGGACATCGGAAATGAACCAAGAGCTCAGTCAGTGCAGATCCCGTGAAAACACAAGAACACCGGAGAAGTCAATAGACAAACGAGTGGGAGAGGATGACCGGTTTCCAGATTAATACACAAAAAGTCATAGCTTTCCTATAGGCAACCAGTTAGCAAATAGAATCAAAGAAAACATGCAATTTAGCAAAACAACCAAAAAGATATTTAAAAAAATATCCTAGGAATAAACCTAATCAGACTGCAGGACCTGATTGAGGAGAGCTGTGAACGCTACTGAGGCACGGAAGATAAATCGGTGGGAAGGATTTATCTTCTCCCTGGAGAAAGTTGAATGCCTTCCCTTCCCAGAGTTTCTCTGCTCCCTGCTTCCTCCTCACCCCTTCCCCTCCCCTCTGTCCCCATCTCCTTTCCTTGCACGTGACTGACCCCCCGGCACCCAGGCTCCAGTCCCTTGAGCTGCCCTGGGTACACCTCCGTGTCCTGAGACCATGGCCTGCTCCTGTCCCGTCCCCATGCTTCCTCCACACCTCGGAATCTGTGAACTGGGAGGGCGCCTCCCGTGAAAACTCAGGCCCCTCAGGTGTGCTCAGCGGCCACTCTCCCACCCACCCTGCTGCGTCCTGCCTCTCTTCTTTCTGTAACAATTCATCCAAAAACCTCCTGCAAAGCCTCTCCTCCATGCCCACCCTTTTGCCCCACACTCCACTGTGGCTCATCCAAGGTCAAGAGGGGGCAGAAGGAGAGACAGACCCTCAGTCCTCCCCTCCCGGGGCTGTGGTCCTTCCGTCTGTCCATCTTACGTGGTGGACAGAGCACACCCCATTCTGAGTTCAGTATGGAGGCCAAAGTCAGGATGCTTCACGTAACACCTCCCCTGCAGCCCCATCTCTCACAACCCCCTCCCTCCCGCGGACCCTCCCCGGGCAGAGTTTTAGTCCAGGGCAGCCCCTCACCTGGGACCCAGAGAAGCAGCAGAGCTGAAGGCAGCCACGCAGCCCGGCCCTGCTGGGTCATGGCTCCAGCACGGACATCACCGACTGCCGCACCAGGCCCCAGGGGAACCCGAGGCTTCAGTCCCCTCAAGGAGGAGGGTCAAGTCTCCATGGCTTCCACTTCTGCTTTTCTTTGTGCCCCGCTGCTTCCTTGTTCAGCTTCTTTTCGATTCTGCTCCTAGAGCTGGTCAGAAAATGGAAACACTGAGGGAGCAGAGCCCCAGTGGCTGAGACACCCCTGGGCCCGTGCACCCTCCTACATCATCCCAGCTGAGACACAGGTTCCGTGGATATTTCCAATGAGGAGACCACCCCCTCCTCCCCCCACAGCTCCCAGACCTGTGCCTCCCCCTCTTTCATATCCCCCAAGACCGCAGGGCCAGGTTTCCTTCCAGGCAGGCCCAGTAACTGCTCCCGTTTCCTTGTGGTCCCCATGTTTTGGTAAACATCAGCTGTCTACTTTTGAAATGCTAACAGGACGACCTATGCAATTAAATGAAGGAATGTATGAACCAATTTTACTTAAAGGGAACATATTACACTATTGTCAGGGTCTTATTAAGGCACTTAGAAAAAATGAAAAGCTGGTAACCAGTTCCTTTTGATACTGGCTCAACACAAGGTTGACATGAAGGAAGCCATATTGTAGAAAAGAAACCCTATTGTAACTTTGAATGACCTCTGACTAACTAACCCAGCTGGATATGCACCCTCCAGGAGATCTACCTGCTCTGTAGATTTTATCACCCCTGCCTGTGCATGTACCCGTACATGTATCGCATGTATGCGATAAGACGATAAATTTGTTCTTTTGAGTTCCTTAGGAATGTGATGACCCCGGGACAGAGAGTCTATCTGGTGTGGCCACTCCCAGTCTGTAACACCAGAGGCTCAACATTCCTAACACCCGCCCCTGTAATCCACAGGCCTATATAACTGCTTCAAGATTCTGTGCACCCCTTAAGATGGTTCTTTCAGACATCTTGCTAGCAAGCTGTAATAAAATGCCCTTTCTGTGCCACCATCTTGCCTCTTGACGATTGGCTTTTGTCTTGCAGCAAGCAGATCACGCCCTTTGTGTGGTAACACTTACACAGCGAGTTCCTGGGAGACAAAGACCTCAAGAATCATGGACTACAACCTGGGACTTTGTTTATTGGAAAAGGCATCAAATAAAAGACTCTTTGCAGCGCTGTTGGAAAGAAACTTATCAAGTATTATTGACTAATCCATGCACTGCAAAATTAAAAGGAGTAAGCTCATGGATTCACATTTCTCCTTTAAAAAAGGCCCCTCCACCTGAGTGCACTTCAACTCCTGTTTCTGATACCTAGCTCCCACTGACTAAAACAAACACCCCAAAACTGGGATGAGAAGAATACAACGAATCCCAAGATTTGCAAAACCCAAGACACCGGACCAGGCCAATATTCCTAATCTTATATCTTCCCCATTTAAATCCTTGTAATGCACAAACCATATACCTACTTTATAATTGCTACAATAATCACACTCCTGAGTATGTTAGCAATTTTAATACTCTTACGTGACGGAGGTCGCCTTCCTTGTGCTTTCAATCGCCTTTTTAATATCGTTTTAACTATTGCCCTATTGTCCTTACCCACCTTGAGACTTCACTCCTTATGTTCACCTCCTCTAAGTTTTGTATAAAATAAGCTAGATCCTAATCATGAAACTCAGTTCTAATAATCCTTTCATAATAACCATCTAAAATTGTTTAACTAAATCACCAATTAGTTAATAACAAAATGTCTGGGATCTGGATGAGAGTTGCCTTAATGGTGCTTATTACAATAAGCTACAGTCCACTTTGCACCACCTTATCTCACCCTTTTGTCCCAACTCTACAGAAACTTGCTAAGAGTGCCAATCTTGCCAATTGCTGGATGTGTGCAAGGGCAAACCACACTCATGATATTCCTGAAGTGGTAGCATGGCCTCTGTCCTTAGAAGGTTGGAAGAATCTAACTGGAAAAGATGTAGGACTTTCCTATGGCATTTTTGTAACCATCTATCAGCCTCCCTTCTGAAAACAAGCCCCAGATATTATCACATTTCATTGGACACCTCCAGCTCACCATGGTGTCTCTCTTACACAAATTTGGCTAATCACCCATAATCTTTCCCTGTGTATTGAAAATATAAATGGCACTGGAAAAACTCTGGGTTGCTTACCACTTAATATTTGTAACTTCACTCTTCTCTATAATTCTGTTGACCATGAATTCACACCTCACTGGGGTTCAGTAAACCATTATGATGTTACATCCCTTGATGTGTCTTTATGGTGGAGAGACTCCCAAAATAATGCAACTGGCAATTGGGAAGTTGACATACTCCCCTTAATGGGCACCCATTGGAGTACAGATCAAAAATCAGGAGAATGGTGGGAATTAAGTAAAAACTACGATAGCCTTAATAACCCAATTGACACTCAACAAAATTCAACTGGCCAAAATCAATCTCACCTTTGCTTCAAATTTATAGAAACCTTTGTTGTTCCTATAACCATTCTCACAACACTACTAGTCCTGACCACCATGTCCTCTGTGAGAATGATTACGTTTCTGACCATGAGATTCCCTCTTTTGAACCTAACAAGAGAGTCTGGGTGCAGGGACCCACTTATGCCATATCTCTCGAAAACACTGGATACTTTCTTCTGTGTGACTCCAATATTTTTTCCACCCCCTTGTTTCCTGGAAAAGATGATGTGGAATAGCAGCACTCGCCCCTGATGCTCATTCTCATATCAACTCAAAGGAGCCAAAAGAAACGATGACTCCCAGGGACTTCCTACATACAACCCAATTATAAACAAAACAGGAATGGGATATGCCTTTCTAGAGCATGGTTTCCCACTTATGGGGTAATTGACCCTGAAAAGACCATTTGTAGCGTCTCCCTTTTGATGGCTTCAACCTTGAATGCCACCCAAAACCTACCAAATATCAACAGAGCCAAATAGAAAGTCTAGCAGAAGCTGTCCTTCAAAACTGAAGAGCTCTTGACATCCTAACTGCTCAACAAGGGGGCAGTTGTGCACTCCTGGGAGAAGAATGCTGCTTTTATGTAAACGAGTCTGGTCACATAAAAGGAGAGCTAAAGATCATAAAAGAATATAAATCTCCTCAATGACATAGGTCATACTGCTGGCCTCCTAGACCACTTTGATCTGTCTGGTTGGCTGCCCTCTGGGCTCCGAGTTCTTTTTTTTTTTTGTGAGGAAGATCAGCCCTGAGCTAACATCCGATGCCAATCCTCCTCTTTTTGCTGAGGAAGATTGGCCCTGGGCTAACATTGGTGCCCATCTTCCTCTACTTTATAAGGGATGCTGCCATAGCATGGCTTGACAAGCTGTGCGTCGGTGCACGCCCGGGATCTGAACCGGCGAACCCCGGGCCGGCCAGAGTGGAGCTCGCGCACTTAACTGCTAGGCCACCGGGCTGGGCTCGGAGCTATTTTAAGATCAGTGTTTCAGGACTTACTAATGATTATTATTCTGATTTGTTCTGTATTTGCCACCTTTAAATTGCTAATGATTTGCATTTCATGATGCTGTATGTCTGTCTCTACTGCTAGAGTGATGATTGCTCAACAACTTGAGATGATTGATTAATCTTGCAACTCCAAGCAAACAAAGGACTTGATTCTTTTTCCACATAAAGACTATGCCTAAGACTCATTTCCTGACCGCCTCCTTACTGCTCAGATGTGGCCACTTTCCCTGTCAGTGCGTACTTCTATGATTTTCAATTATATTTGACTATTCCCCCCCCACGTGGATAACTGGGCAGGTCAATTAAAATAAAGCCCAGCTCCAAGGGACATGATGGACCCAGGGGAGGACGCAAGCACCCTGGCATCAAGGGACAATATTTTGATCATCAATGCTTTCTATCAAAAGATTATTGATCAAAAGGGGAAAACGATGAAAGAAAATTTTATAGGGGCCGGCCCCGTGGCCTAGCGGTTAAGCGCGTGCGCTCCACTACTGGCGGCCCGGGTTGGGATCCCGGGCACGCATGGAGGCACCGCTTCTCCGGCCATGCTGAGGCCGCGTCCCACATACAGCAACTAGAAGGATGTGCATCTATGACATACAACTATCTACTGGGGCTTTGGGCGCAAAAAAAAGGAGGAGGACTGGCAATAGATGTTAGCTCAGAGCTGGTCTTCCTCAGCAAAAAGAGGAGGAGTGGCATGGATGTTAGCTCAGGGCTGATCTTCCTCACAAAAAAAAAAAAAGAAGAAAATTTTATATATTGAGGTGTATAGGGAAGCCATTCTGGTTTAAAGTTGATTTGGCCTAAATTTTATTTGAGCCAAAGAAGCCTGACTTACGGCCTGTTAAACACAGACTGCACATCTGCTTTAATCATTATCCTAAAGTAAAGAATGTACTCTTTGACTATAAGAATAGATGCCTCCCTTCTTGTGACGCCAGCACTCTGAAGATGTCTCCCTTCCCATGACACCAGGGTCTGTTGACTTGCTGTGTGAGTGCTAACCTGTAACAAAATCTCTCCTTGAACCCTTGAAAGAATGTACCCCTGTCGTGTTGATGTATGTCTCTTTGTTTGGAAATGGTATATAACTGTGCTGAAAACCACTCTTCTCCAGAACGCCTTCTTCTCTTGCCAAGGCTGTGACTCCTGGGCTATAGCCCTCAGTTTGGCTTGAATAAAACTCTCTTCTTTTCTTTTGCGATGGAATGATTATTGATTATTCGTGTTGACAAGGCTTTGCTACGGTCTTGAATGTCAAGGTCAAGAGGGGGAGGCACCAGACTGAGACGCAGGAGGGTGGGTTCCCATGTGGCTTGTCCACTTCCCGCTTGTGTGACCTTGAGCAAAACCTGTGCCTCTGGTAAAATGTCCATAATAATAGCTCATTTGTGGGAATAAATCATACAATAATTATAAAAATACTCAAACATGAGATAATAATGTCCTCAGGCCAATTTTTTCCTAAGGGAACACGTCTGTCTTTACTTTAATGAAAGGCATGGGAGGGA